AGTCCTGTACTTGTTCAGGAATTTTCTGTCTTTGAGACTTATTGTTATTCCATCCTCACTCTCCCAACTGAAGTAGAAGGTACATAGCGAGCAGCCTTGTTCCTTTTGTGTTCTGGTTGAGCTTAAATGTGGTGTACACATAAGAAATTAGCTTTAGAGTATGTAACCTGTTACACTGCAGATGGGCGCCCCCTTGGTAGTCTGGAGTTCAGCTTTCTCCAAGTGGCTCCTCTTCACCCAAAACCTTAGAACTCCTCCTCCTTTTCCTTTGAAGTGATTTTTGCTAAATCAAGAATTTGGGAATTAAGTAACAGCTCTTGATTTAGAGTCTTACTGCCTTTTGCTAGTGGAAAAATTGCAGCTTTGCTGTGGAAGTTCAGGTTCAGTAGCTAAAACAATTAGTTCAACTCAATGAAAATGCTTTTGGAAACCTTTGAATTCTGTGGGTTTGTACACTGCTTTGTAGCCAATATTTTTTTAGCTGTATGTGTTTGGAACTATTTAATAATTAATTTTATATTGATCTATTTTGAATTTTTGGAGTGAACTTTAAAACCTGTGTATATTATCACTCTGTGATAAAGAAATGGCATGAGGTGTGGATATTTAAATAGTGCCAGTCTACTTGTATACATCACTTAAATGCAATTTTTGTGATAGATCCTACTGCTGTATAAAACCGCCTTCCTATTTCTCAGAACTCTTCATTTAAGATGTTAAAGGGAAATCTTGAACACCAGATTTTAATATGGCAGTTAAAATAGGAGATGCATGTAATTTTCCTTATGAGGTAATAATTGAAAAATAAAGCATATTGGAAATGTCTGTAACTATTTTCCTTAGATGTGCTTGCTTGTTTAAAAGGAAGAAATCATCTATACATTTGAGATTCGTAACTTTGAAAGGCAAATTACTGCAATTCTGTAGGGCATTTACTTCCTTATAAGTATAATTGTACTGAATGTGTGTGGTTTTGCTTTGTTATGTTTAACAGAATGATATGACACCAGTCCGGTTACAGTGGGGAGAAATTCTTATGCCACTGCTGAAGAAGTACAAGTTGAACATAACATGGGGTGATCAGGATCTATTGAACATTATGTTTTTTCATAATCCAGGTAAATCCACATTGATTCTAAGTCTAACATGACAAAGTTGATCTTTTCTATGATCTTTAAAAGTCTGGGAAAATAATCCTTTAGCAGACTTTTCAGTGAAAATATCCAAGGGACTTCTCACTTTTGGTTTTCTGAAAGTGTTTACTTTGAGAGACAACATTGGAGCTTGTTAGAGTGTAATTAGCTGTTAGGTTCCAAAACAACTGTAATTTATGAAGCAGCCTTAAGAAAAAAAAAAAAATTAGTCTATTTCCTGAAACGATTTTGATACTTAATTCAGAGTTCTTATTTGTCTGCACAGAAAGTCTCTATGTCTTTCCTTGCCAATGGAATTATCGGCCTGACCACTGCATCTATGGAAGCAATTGTAAGGAAGCTGAAGAAGAAGGTATATTTATTCTTCACGGAAACAGAGGTGTTTACCATGACGATAAACAACCGACTTTTAGGGCTGTCTATGAAGCAATAAAAAATGTAAGTGTTTTCAGCATGGTGCTTGTGCAGTTCTTTTTTGAGGTATTTTCATCTACAGCGTTGGATGTATTTTATAACTTTTGTTGATACTTACCTTGATTGCAGCAAAGTAATTTTTTTTCTTTTAAATGATGTTAGGTGTTTCACCAATTTTTGGTTTACTGCTTGGATAGAATTCCAGTGTGAATTCCTTTTGTGATGAGCATCTTTTGAAACTTAGTGTAGACTATGTCTAGGTTAGGATTTTAAAACATTGGCTATTGTTATCAACATCTGTTTAAAAGGATTTATTCCTATTCCTATGATAAGTACATCTAGTAAACTGCTTGTATGAGCATTTGGAGACCACCAGAAGCTTAATTTTTCTGGAGATTTTAAAATGCAGAAAAAACCTTTCTTCCCAAAGTTTGTGTTTGTTTACTGCAACATTTTTGCATTTAATTCTGGCTAGATTTGGACTGTAGAAAACATTTTTATACTGTTTTTTGACCTTTTCTAGAGATTCAGTGTATTAATGTGTTGCTGTTCCTTTAAGTACTAAGCACAGTGACTTCTTTTCATTCTGCAAATAAGTCATCTAATAAACTATTTATCACTACATCAGTATACTCGCTGAAGAGCTGTAAAATTTAGCACTGATGCACATTTTAATGTAGCAGGCTATTGTGTGTGTATAACCTTCAAAAATCAATAGTATATTTTAATGGTGCTTTATTACATGTTGTCATATGGATATAAAAATGAAGAAAAGTACTTTTGGGGTCTGAGAATACATTGCAGGGAAAGTGAATGTGTTTCCATAAAAATATGATTTCTTTGTTTCCTTTGAGCATTGTCAAAAACAGAAGAAAAAATTATTTCTTTTTATTTATGACCCCATTTGTTTTATGAATATGTCAGAGAAAGTATGTAAAACATTGCTGATTCAGTGGTAATAAGATCAACAAAATTATGTTACTTTGAATTGCTGTTTTAGCTTATCATTTGTTTATAAAAAATATTGCACTATTGAGTTAATGACTTCTTTATTTCATGTTGATGTTAAACATAGTATGTGTTTGACCATCATTCAGTTTAATGAAACGTCAGTAGTACCACTTTTCATACTGTTTCATTATAATTTGATAAGAATTGTATTCCTTAAAAGTTATATGTCATTCAAGAAAGTTACTGTTCAACAGACAAATAACCAGAAATAATTTTGGATCTGTAAATTTTTAATTTAATAAGGTAATTTTAAATTTCCTCCATGCCTGTCTGGATATGTTAATTTGTTCACTTTAAAAAAAAAATAATCTCACTTGTTAGGCTTGTTGAAAGCATTAGAGAATATTTCTGTAATTCAGAGATATTTTTCAAATGTTGCGTTCATAAGCTGAATTCTTAAAAACGTTTAATAAACTTATAGAAAGCAAATACGATGTCCAAAGGCATTTTTATTAAAATCTTCTGAATATGACAGTCTTCTGTATTGACCTTATATCTTCTTTTCTTAACCTCTTTACAGTATTCATTTGGAGATGATCTGGTTCATTCCCTGTTGCAGCCTCTAGAACTGGAATTACAGAAGACCATGCATACATACTGTGGAAGAGTATACAAAGTGTTCATAAAGCAGCTAACAAAAAGCATAAGAGACTTGTATGTCAGAAGATCAAGGGGAAGGTGACTTTTACTCCGAGGTGTTAAATCAAGAGACTGAATTAACATACTGCAAACATTCTAATAGGGCTTGAATCAGCTCTTAATGTGCCCAGATAAAAGTTTACTAGCATACTTAAAAATGAAGAAAATATTCATGTAATGAAGAACAGGAACTTTTTTCTGCAAAGGTGACCTTTTGCTCTTTTGAAGTTTAATCACTGCTAATGTTTATCTTGGATCCGGTGATTTGGGTGTTACTGGCTTCTGTGGTCAGTAGTTTTAGTCTGCATAATTCAGTTATCGAATGAACAAGGAAGAAATGAAGATGGCTCTATTTGGAGTGTACCTCATGTTGTCTAAAATTCTGTTAAGCTGTGAATGTAGCAATAACTGAGTCAGCAGCACTAACCTCACTTTAAAGGTGTGAGCCTTTATGTAAACAAACTTGTGTCAAGTGCAGAAAATACTCTGTTTTCAAAGAAATGTGATATAATCATTGACAATCTGTATGTGCCTTTATATGTTCATCTCGTACATGTTGAAGTACTGTTTTGACAATCTTATTTTGCTTATCTTAGGTGTAAACTGCACACTATAAATACGATTTTCTGAGAAATGAATAACTAGTATGTGATACTAGTTTAATCTGTCAGTAGATATGGAGACTTTTTAATATACAGCATTTGTTTCAACATTGTGACCCATCAGGCCGAAAGATAGGCCAGAGTTGAGGGGTGTTTTAGCAAAAAATTCCCTTTGAAGTTGTCTGTCTCAGAATACTTTTTCAAAACTACATGGTTTTGCAGCTTTATAGGGCATTTTGGAAGCAGAAAAATCCCCCACAAACAGTGGAAAGCTGTTGCTGTTGTATTTCCTTACTACAAATTATTACCTGATGATTATTATAGAGTATTTAGTACCTGAAAGTGAAGAGCTGTAATAAGAGTGCTGATGCTTCATCAGACTGTATATTAGATGGGTTTCTTAGAGAATATATTCTGTTACCGTATTTTTTTAATAACATGGCTTTAAAATAGTTTAGGGGCGGACCCTCAACTATGTGAGTGAATTACTGTCAATAAGGTGATAGTGATTTACAACAGGTAAGGATTAGGCTTTCTTTAGTTATCTTAGTGAAAAAAAAAAAGTTCTGTTTATGTAATAGACTATTTTTCAGAGAAAAAACTGAAGAAAAAGGTGAATTTTAGTGTTACAGTAAAATATTATTTAAACTTGCATGTTATGAAATGTATTTGTAAGGTATTTGAACTTCGATAACTTGCGTAACTGAGATGAAGTCTTCATAAAGTGAGCTTTTGGATTCCAGAAAAGTTCCTGTGTGTTGAACACTGAGGATCCACTCACTGACTTGCACCTTCATCCCAGCCCCATTTTAGAAGCTTAATTTTTGTGCCTGTTTCTTTGTCAAAGGCAGGCTGGCTCTGACTCCCAGATCCACGTGAGCTGGACGAATGATTTAGCAGTTCAAAACCACACTCCATTGTAAGCAGAGTTTATATTCTGCTCCTAATCTCCCTGCTGGTTCAGGGTGTAAATTTGCGGGATGGAAACAAGGGAGCAGTCTGCCTTGCATGTAGTTACGGTCTCTTTTCCTTGCAATGAAACCTTTTGAAGTATGAAATTCTAGAAATCTGTGTGAAGGTGAATACTGTTATTGACTGATTTTACAATATGCAGTGCATTATTTTTTTACATAAATACTGATTTTTATATCAATTTGTCATCAGTCTTTTTTTCACTTGTGCCGTGTGTTTATATTTAAAAATTACTCCTTTCTGTTGGTGTTTTGTGTTTATCTTTGCAGAAACTTTCAGTTTTGAATTGATTTTTAGTATGTTGTGTGCATGTGAAGATACTGCTTAAAACCCAATGAGCCATTTTAGGAAAGAAGTGGAATGTGAATGTTAGCAGCAACCTTTCCACTTAAATTTCAGTTTTTGTGGGGTATTAGAACAAGCGTTAATATTGGAGCTTATCCTAAGATAAAAATTCTTACTTAATGCTTAATTCAAGAGGTGTTTACTTAGCATGTTACAAATAGAATATACTGCCTTATGTCATAGGTTTTGTTTAATTTTTATAAATACAAACTTAAGCAGCTCATCTCAACTATCCGTTCCCAAGTAACACTCAAGAACACTTCAGAAAACTTAAAAAACATCAAGTGCGTAGGAGCTTCCGTTCAGTAACTCTCCAGAGTATTTGTTGGTTTTGAATAAATTTTTAGTTCTGTAATCCCTATGTCTTAAATTTAGAAAGATGACCTACCTTTAAAAACAAATCTGACTTACCAAAAAAAGCATTTGGAGACAAGACTCGAAAACCAGGTAGCGTGACAGAAACCAGTTATACTCCCAAACATTTCAATACCCGATTTGTAAGGTTATGGGCATGTAAGCGTAGAAACTTACATCTAGCCTGTGAATCCTCATTGCTGTCTAGTTTTAGAAACGTTGCTTTTTCTGTAGCTGTAGTAAGCGACCAACAAAATAGGACTTGACAAATTATAGAACTTTATAAATCCGATTTTTACTGATTTGCTGTAAAATTATTTAATGCTAATAGATATATGTAAAGTGTCATAGGAAAATGTAAGCATCAGGAAATGTATGTTCAGGTTAAATTGAGATAAATCTGTCTTGATCATTCTTAGCTTATCTCTATATCATGATACCATTATTCTGTCCCTGTTTTAAGGGACCACAGTCCCATGGTAAAGAGATTTATTTGAAGATATGTTATCTCATTTGTATGAAATGCTGTCTCTCTTTGTAGGTAGCATGAAAGGCCAGCTATCCCTTAGTGAGACCTATAGTCCTATTGTGGTTGGATATTTTTTTTTTTTTTTCCTTCAGATTGCTATTTTCAGAGGATGTTTGGGTAGGAGGAAATTTTCAGCATTTAGTAAAGTCATTCTGTTTCTTGAGCGATCAAGTGGTAGTTTCTTCACTGAATCAATTAATATTATCCCTGTTCTCTCTTATGACAGATTTTTGGCTGCTGTCTGCCTACTTGATCTATATGGTTGCAAGTTCCTTTTATCAAAGCAGTGACTGTCACTTCTTCTAGATCTGTATTTTAAACACTCATCCCATATCTGTGTGCCTCCTTAGTTACATAAGCCAGGGACCTAAGCTGTTTCCACCTTTAGATGTCCATCTTTGATTTAATATCCTGGGTTTAGTTTCCAGCTGGACCTGTAGGGATAAAATACTGAGATAATAAGGAATGCAGAATTTTTCACAACAGCTTAGAGAACTACAGAGTTCTGAAAAATAATTACTTATTTTGAAATAGTATTCTGTCCTTGAGTGTAATTTCTGATTTGGTAGATCTAAGGGTTAGCATCCTTGGTTCAGTCAAATTGTTTGACTTTTTCTGTGTCAGCCCCTTATGTGGAGGGATGGCCAGGTGTCTCTTAAAAGACTGATTCCTTCTTTGCTTTGAACTCCAAGGATAGGAACAGAAGCTCTTTAACTCTAAGCCATTGTTGTAGATCCTCTGTATCCCCTCATTTAAACTCTTTGAAACAGGTAATAGCTGTCCCCTTGCTGCTATTTAGTGGTACTGTGTTTAGTGGTTTTCCTCATGGTCATGCTGAAAGGGGAGGGAAAAGGTGCAGTTATTCAGATCTTCTTGTTAGTTCCTGTCCTGCTGTCTTTGGAATTCCATGTGACACTTGAAAAACCCAACCAAATCCCAACTTTCTGCATCTGGATCAAAGTCAGAGGAGAATAAACCTGATAGTTTCTCCTGACATGCTAACACCTTCATTTAGGAACATGCTTTCACTGGTCGTGGGCCTTACTCATAGATTAAAAGTCAGGACAGTTTTCTTACACCGTTTATCAAAACAGGTCTGCAAGGACTCGTCAGGTTTGATATAGTTTATTGCTGTTTTAAGAGTGCCAAGCTTGTGAGATACAGGTACATTGTGTTCCCAAAGTGAGTCCGTTAGAAGCTTGTAAGAATATAATCAATCTTAAGTCTACAGTCTTTAAGACTTGTGGCTGCTTTTAGAGGTACCCATTGAACTGATACTCTCACTCAAATTCCCCTTTCTTCCCTCTGTGCTATTTTCCACAGATAATTTATTGATCTATTTGTCTTCTTAGAGCAAAGCAAAATTTTGTAAGTTTGCTTTAATAAATGTCCCCTTGAAACCAAACAGAACTTTGCTAGGGAAGGGAAGGGTCTGTGAAGTTTGTTTGCAAGTGAATTGTTTCTGTGCTTCAAACTTCTGTAAGGTGATGGAGTGCAAACATGGAACTTAACCCGTGGCTTCCTCACCGCTTGGAGAAGTGCTGCTAGATTGCGCTGTCTTTAATTTCCTCACTTATTTCTAGCATCAAACACTGATTTCTAAAAATGCTTTTTGTTCCTAAAGGGCCTTTCTATTTTATCTAGTTCGTATTAAATTATTAAACCAACTGAGATGAACAATTTATTAGAAGAGCCTAATGTATTTTCTGCTACCTTCATATTCTGGGAGGTGACTTTGTCTCCTGTTCTTTCTTTGAGTGATTTAATATCATAGCCTTATTCTCAGAATTATACTCTGAGTACAACAGGTTCATTCTATGTTTTATGAATCTTAATGTTCTGCTGTCATTTGTATACACATTTTACTAGTGCAATTCACATTGAATCAGTCTGTAATATTCATATGAATTACTCTGAAATGCAAGAGTAGATGTAGAAGCTATCCTAAACTGCAAATCTTTGTGGTTGAAGTAATGAGTATTTAGGGCATGGGTTTTTTTAGGCTTCCAAGAAAATGAAAGCAATGTAATCAGTTTTAACTCCTGATTTAAGACTAGGAAATTAAATTTAATTAAAGCTGATGTTTCAGCCTTATAATGCTAACCTACTGTGTCTCACTGAGTAGCTGGTGCCTAGGAGACACTCCACTTGCCTGTTCGATACTGTGAAGCTTCAGAAGTATGGCATCACGCAGTTTCTGACTAGTCACTGGTACTCTTGATTTTTTTCATTTTAGAATACTCTGCTATGTTTTATTTTATTGTTTTGTTTTGTGTTTTTATGCCATGGTTAATGTTATCCAAGGTGAATCAGGGTTGCAGATCTAAACCCAAGAAATAAAACCCATTTTTGCGGCCCAGGGTGTGTTATATACAGTATTTGTCTTTTGATTTGGTGTTTTTCACTAGTCTGGTCATTATTGTATTGGGCACTCATCTTTCCTGCCTGCTGTTCCTGGCTTTCCTCCTTTCTCCACTACCCCTCCAGTCTTCTTGCTACCTGTCTCTTCCAGGTATTGGTGTCACTCCATCTGTTCTTCTCACGATGCTCTTTCTGGATCTCGGTGGCTGGGATG